AGAGGGCGGTGAGGTAATCCCCATACATAGTCCGACAAGTGCCTCGGCGTGAAGGGGGCTCTGTGTGGAGGAGAGTGTGTTACTGTATTTCTCAGGAGCACTTCACGGATGTTCTGGCACCAAAGGGAGATGAAAAGTTAACCGGGTTTTCTTGCCTCCACAAAAGCATCTTTCATCCCACAATAGACTCCAGATTGAAGGGAAGATTTCACGATACAGTGGCCAGAGGCAGGAAACTCTGCTGCAGTCCCTGACCACCCCGCCCCCACTCATTTCTGAAGATTCCTACTGTAACCCAGGAAGCTCGGGAGACAGGCACATGGAGTCTCAGAACAGGAACACTAGCATGTTGAAGGATGGAGAAGGTGTGCCTGGGGTTGGCCCTGAAAGAGCAGGCTGTCGCGTGGGCTGATGAGTGCTCTGTGATGCTGAACGACTCGGCACTGTCAAAGGACAGGGGTAGCACCGTGGAAAAGGTGGCTCCTGTCCAGTTGTCAGCAGGGAGAGAAAGAGCAAAGTCATCTTGGTTGAGGCCTCCTGAGCGCCAGACACTTGACAACTGTGAGGGGAAGTGAAGCTGAGTCACAGAAGGTAGCAGGGGAGCACGTTTGCCTCCACCCTCCACCTCCTGCAGCCCCTGCCCTCCTCGGAGATTTGGTCTTGCTTACCCAGAGCAGACTCTGGAAGATAAGGACCTGGGAGGAGGGCGCTTCTTGCCATTTAACCTCTCAGAAGGCAGCAAGAGTAATAACAAATATTTTTACTTCTAATCAAAGTCAAAATGGCGACTGCCCACAGTTCCAGCCTCATCCCTGTGGAAAGGGTCCAACACAGAGGGAGTACCTGGGGAGGACACGGTATCTGGGATGGCCTTTTTTTTTTCTTTTTGGTTTTGGAATTTTTATTACATAAATATTACCTTTCCAAAAATATTCTTTTTATGGTACAAAGAAGTATACATATGACACAACCATTCTCTCCAGATGTAATCACTGTACTGCTTCTGGTATATCCTTCAGGATCGTGTAGGTATACCTAAATATGCTCTTCGCTGCCTCCAAATTGCCTCCCCCCTGCCTCCCGAAACGTTACACACAGTAGAGTTGTGTTTAACTTTTGTAAATTAATTATTTGTATCAGGGTTGCTCCACTGAGCATATGTCCCAGCATAAGTGTGAGTAGGTTTCCGGTTAAGATGGCAGTGTAGGCAAACACTGGGCTTGCATCCTTCCACAACCGAAAGTACAACTAAACTACAGAACCACCATCACTGAGAATCATCTGAAGTCTAGCTGAACAGAAATCCTGTAACTAAGGACACACAGAAGCCATGTCGAGACTGGTCGGAGGGGCAGAGCCTGGAATGAACTGGCCCCACACCTAAGTGTGGCAGTTAAAAATCGGGAGGCGTATCTTGGCTGCAGAGGTCTCCCCTGAGGAGTAAAGCATCCCAGCCACATATCAGGCTCCCCTGCCCAGGGCTCCAGTGCCAGGGAGAGAAGTCCCCACAACTCTGGCTGTAAAAACCAGCAGATGGTGGCTGAGTGAGACGAAGTGCTGCTGGAGTCCCAGGTGTCCTTCTTAAACGGCCCACACATGGACTTACTCGCAGATGAACTCACTCGCTTTGAGCTCCAGCACTGGGGCAGCAGCTCAAAGGGTGCCAGGGACATATAGGGAGGAACTGAATTGTCTGATTTCAGGACAAGGGCTGGAGGGGCAGCTTTCTCCCAGACAGAAGTGCTGGCAGGAGCCACTGCTCCTTTGTTGAGCCCTCCCCGCTCCCAGTGCGCACACAGGCAGCCGCCATATCTGAGTTTCCATCAACCTGGCTAACACTTCACTCTGTCCTGGTGGTTCCGAGACCCCACCCCACCCAAGCTGCTCCCAGTGGCTTTTCCACACAAATGGCCTGTTGTGACTCATGCTGTGGGCTTTCCTAAGATCTCTTAAAGGTTCACAAACCCCAAACAAGCAGCATCTGGCCTCAGCTTGCCCTGTACCTCTTGCTAAGCAGCCTCAAGCCCGGCACTGGTGGCAGCCAGGCTCAGTTCCCAGCTTAGCTTCTCCCAGGCACCTCCGAGCCCAGCACAAGTGTCAGCCATCTGCAGATCACTTTGTAGCTCATACCAACTGGCCTCAGGAAGGGCACAGGCAGCGGTTGACCTTGGCCTGCAACAGAGTCCTACCCAAGAAGACCCAGAACTAACACACTTGGTGGCCAGTTTCAGACCGCACCAGAGCACCACCCAACCACTTCCACAAAAAAACACACCCAAAGGGCAGACCGGGCAGGCACCAGAGCCCTGCTGAGGCAGGTCCTGCTCTGGAGGGTCAGCCCCCGCACAACAGCTCCTCCACTGAAGTCAGGCCAGTCCTCACATCCAGTCAGCCTGAAGATTGATCCCTTCCATTGACATGCAAACAGCAAACAGGGCATCACTACAACAGGAAGGCAAACACAACCCACACAAAGGACACACCTAGAGCACTTGGCTTTAGTGACCAGGGAGACAGCACCACTGGGCTCCACAGGGCACCTACTACATAAGACCACTCTACCAAGCCTGGGAGGCATAGCAGCTCTACCTAATACATAGAAACAAACACAGGGAGGCACCCAAAACAAGGCGAAAAATAAATATGTCCTAAATGAAAGAACAAAGCTCCAGAAAAAGAACTAAACAAAATGGAGACAAGTAATCTACCAGATGCAGAGTTCAAAACACTGGTTATAAGGATGCTCAATGTTCTCAGTGAGAACTTCAACAGATAGGAAACAAAAATGGCGATAGAGAACATACAGAAGAACCCATCAGAAATGAAGGATACAATAACTGAATATAAGAATACATTAGAAGGAATCAACAGATTAGATGAAGCCGAGGATTGAATCAGCAATTTAGAAGATAAGGTAGCAGAAAATACCTGATCAGAACAGCAAAAGGAAAAAAGAATCCAAAAAAATGAGGATAGTTTAAGGCATCTCTGGGACATCAAGCATACCAACGTTTGCATCATAGGGGTACCAGGAGAAGAGAGCAAGGAATTGAAAACCTATATGAAAAAAATGACAGAAAACTGTTGAAAGAAATAGACATACAAGCCCAGGAAGCGCAGAGTCCCAAACAAGAAGAACCCAAAGAAGCCCACATCAAGGCACATCATAATTAAAATTCCAAAGGTTAAAGACAAAGAGAGGATCCTAAAAGAGGCAAGAGAAAAGCAGTTAGTTACCTACAAGGGAGCTCCCATAAGACTGTCAGATGACTTCTCAACAGAAACTTTGCAGGCCAGAAAGGATTGACACGAAATATTCAAAGTGATGAAAAGCAAGGAACTATAACCAATATTACTCTACCCAGCAAAGGTATCATTTAGAATCAAAGGACAGATAAAGAGCTTCCCAGACAAGAAAAAGCTAAAGGAGTTAATCACCACCAAACCAGTATTACAAAAAATGTTGAAGGGACATCTTTAAGAAAAAAAAAAAAAAAGATAAAAAATATTAATAAAATGGCAATAACTACTTATCTATCAACAATTTAAATGTGAATGGATTAAATGCTCCAAGCTAAAGACATAGGATGGCTGAATGGATAAAAAAACAAACTCTTACATATGCTGCCTACAAGAGACTCATTTCAGATCAAAAGACACACACAGACTGAACGTAAAGGGATGGAAAAAGATGTTTCATGAAAATGGAAATGAAAACAAAGTGCTGGGGTAGCAATGTTTATACCAGACAAAATAGTCTTTAAAACAAAGGCTATAACAAGAGACAAAGGACCCAGTAATCGTACTACTGTGTATTTATCTGAAGAAATCCAGAACACAACTTTGAATGGACACGTGCATCCATATGTTCGTTGCAGCATTGTTTACAAAGGCCAAGATATGGAGGCAACCTGGGTGTCCATCAATGGATAAATGGATAAAGAGGAGGTCCATATATACAATGGAATATTAGCCATAAAAAAGAATATCTCGCCATCTGCAACATGAATGCACCTAGAGGGTATTATGCTGAGTAGAGTAAGTCAGGCCGAGAAAGACAAATATATGATTCCATTTATATGTGGAATCTAGAGAACAGAATAAATGAACAATCAAAACAGAAAGAAGTTCATACTGGGTCGTTGGAAAAGTCATGATGCATTTTTGCAACGAAAAACATAGAAAAGCACATCATGACTTTTCCGACCCAATAGATATAGAGAACCATTTTGATGGTCGCTGGATGGGGGGCTTTAGGGGAATGGATGAAGGCAGGGAAGGGATTAAGAAGTACAAATAAGTAGTTACAAAATAGTCAAGGGGGTGTAGAGTATAGCATGGGGAATATAGTCAGTATGTATGTAGTGTCCAATGGGTACTGGATTTATCAGGGTGATCACTTCGTAAGCAGTATAAATGTCTAATTACTATGTTGTACACCTAAAATTAATATAATATTGTATGCCAACTGTAATTGAAAAATAAAAAAATATTTTTTAAAAAAGTGTGCATGGGGCAAGTGGTACAAGGTTTCAGTTCTCGTGTCATTGGAGTGTTTAAAGAAACATTTTTCCTGTTAAGTCCTAAATGCAAGGAGCTCAACCAGGGAAATGGTGCCCTGTGCCAATGCTAAGGGTTGCTAGGCGTGCTGATTGTTACAGAAGGGTGTGAGGCTCCAATAGGACACCTTCAGAAGGTGTTTAAGGACAATCTGGACTACAACAATCTGGACTACGTGCCATTTTGTCTTGAGCTCGACTGAGGACCCAACCAACCCCAGCAAGATGCCTCTAACAGTCACACACTATTTGTGTTCTTTTCCATTTAGTCTCTCTTGGAAGTTGCTCCAATCAGTATCTATAGATCTTCCTCTTCGTGCTCGCTGCAAGCTTTTTCACAGCATGCATGTATGGGATGTGCTTTGGAAAGAGTTCTCTTTTCATACCACAGAGGCAAGAGAAATGTCACCATTAAAAAAAGATACAAACTGAGAACAAATGTACAAACCAAGAATATAACATTTTATTCATTTCCAGATTATGAGTATTACACAGCATGTACATATATTTAGATAAGGTATAAAACAAAGAACAAACTGTAGGAAGAAATATTGGTCTGAAATTGCCTTACGGGGCATCTTTAATTCTCTAAGTTCATGGTAAGTGGATCTCCCTACACACTGGAACCGGCAGCAGGGTCAACTCCAGCCGTCACATACCAAAGCGCGGCTTATCCTCCACTGTACTTACGATGCAATTATGGCATTACGGCATGGTCACTGGTGTCCGCGACAGGGGACACCAAGTAGTAGATAAAAGAACACAGCATAGTGAACTAATACAAATATTTGTTTTTTGCATTGTCCTCCAGGTAGTTTCCTTTTTAAACTGAGCGTCAGGACCAGGGTCTATCCCTTGAGTTGCATTCCAGTTATTGCTGGAGGAAAAAAAAAAACACCAGAAAAGACCATCAGTTTAAGTTACTAGAGAATAGCTGATCGGTGCCACTAACCCCTACCCCTGTGACACTGAAGGGGAGGCTGAGCCACGGGAAATGCAGGCAGGTCAGAGGAGACCGATCGGTGGAAGGCCGTTTGGGGCTGATAAAGGGGCTCGCATGGAAGGCTGTGAGGAGGGGGAGGATCAGCTTGTGCAGGTGGAGGGGGCAGTAACAGAACACTTCACAGGATCACCCCGACTCGTGCTGATTATGGAGGAGACACAGGATCTTACGATGGAAGGGTGCTCCATTCTCCATGTCGACAGAGAGGCTCCGCAGCTGAACTCTTAGAATAGAGCACTTGCCAGCACACAGCCTCCCCAACTCACTGTCTGGCCTTCCTCAGAGGAAGGCTGGCTCACCTTTGCCTTGTTCTGAACTGGGAGATAGAGTTTGAACTCTGCGGGCAGCTCGTCTTCTGAGTAGAGTCTGTCCGAGAAGTAAACCCGTCGGATGCGACAGTTGGCATGGATCTGTGGATGCAATACTTAGTCTAAGAGATTAAACATGACTGCCCTTCCTCATTTCCTGACTGTCCTAGAGGCCCCCTTCTCCTCCATGGTGCTGTCAGAGCTCCATCCCTTTGGCGTTTCCTCGGCTGGGCCTGGGCGACTCTGCTCACCACATTCTCCCACCATATCTGAGAATCCTATGTCCTGGGCCCTCTGAGGTCAAAGCCCACAGGACAGTAACTTGGGAACTTGAGCCAGAAACCCACACTGTTCTGTCACTTGGCACACAAGCCAGTAACGGAGCGTCCCCCTCTCTCATTTGGGGCTCCCAGTACCTGCACTCTTAGAGTCTCAATGTAATTGGTGCCATATGCTCGCCGAGTGAAGTCCGACAGGTTGAACTGAATCTGGTTCCAGCCGTCGTCCAGCCGCATGGGCATGGTACAGATGAAGGGTTTGACCCGCGTGGTGCTCTGGTAGTTACTTGCCCGAAACCGCCGACGCACATTCTTGTCGTCTAGTACCTTTGAAATGTAAGCAAGAGTCACAGTCACTCCATCTTGGAAGACGCAAACGATCTTGGTAAGGCAGGAACCTGAACTCCCGCAGCCCAGTTTCCCAAGGCTGAACCCAGGGGAGGATAAACAGACCAGACACAGGTCACACTGGATACAGATGGCCTGGGAGCAGCAAGTTTATCTTATTTGTTGCCAAGACAACACCAGCTGCTTATGATGTATGACACACTCATCACGCTCTCAGACCACAGAATAACTTCATAAACATTTTCCCCTTTAAAAAATACTAAAATAGAGACCTACAATAACCTAGTATTAAAGGGTTACTCCCCAAATGGACACTACTCTAACCCTTAAGCTTTAAAATCTTGTGGCTATTGATCAGATTTTCTAGAAGCTTACTGTGTTTCTTTAAAAACCTGGCATTAAATTATGATTCTAATACCACATTTATGTCATCATCATAAGGGCTGAATCAGGTGTATAGCAGAGCCAGAAAAGAAGACATACAAAAGGATAAAGATACTCTCCTAGGGCCACTTTTTCCCTAAACGTTGACAGGATACCTGTCATATAGCCAAGAGTGTATAATAGTCATGTGCACAAACCTACCTGTACTTCAAAGGTAAAATATTTCTTCAGGTTTTTGATAATCATGACAAGGAAGGGAAGCTTAATCCCCAGTGTTTTCTTTGGGTCTGCAGGACATGTGATGTATGTGGTGCTGTAGAAAGAGGAAATACAAGTAAACACACTACTAAACTCTCCCTTTGTGGCACGCACAGCAATGACACACGGTCTAAGAGGACAAACTGGAAGGCAGATCTAAAGGACCCAGATCCCTCAGCCCCTAAGTCAGCTGATGCTTTGAAAAATGCCCAGCTCTGAAACAAAAGCTTCACACAATAAAATATCTGAAAAGCAAAGCCAGACCAGTGGATCTGAGGAAGTTCTTCCATTGAGAGAAGATTCAGTTCTGGTCCAAGAGAACCAACAATTGATAGAAAACCAAAACGAAGCCCCTGTGGCCCTGAAAACCAGAGTGGCCACCCACTGGATGAGCAGTGCAACATCCCCCCACATCCCTGCCATACACGCACCTTGGTTAAATATTAATAATAATGGCTAATACTTACATAGTGCATACTATGTGCCAAGCAGATTCTAAGTGTTTTATACATATTCACTTATTTAATCTTCACAATAACCCCATAAGGTTATTATTATCCCCATTATACAGATGAGAAAATGAAGGCCGAGGGGATTAAGTAACTTGCCCAGGATAAGCTCTAAGTAGCAGAGCTGGATTCCTACCAGGCAGGCTGGCTCTGCAGGCTGCGCCATTCACCTCGGTGATGCTGACACAGTACACCGTCTCTGGGAACACGGAGTGGCAGCCTACCTGACGTTCGTTCCTTCGATCTCTAGCACCAGGGACTGGATGTCATTATCAGTGATTCTTTTGATGTGGCCATTCCGCACCTATAAGAAAAAAGTTAAACAGTTTAGTACTGAAGTATTTGGCAACAAGTTTATTAAGATTCTGAAGGCTGAATGAGACCATTTAAAGAAAACTACGGTGGCCCAAGAGGCATAACATAGAAGTTTGTGACATGTTATGTTGAAGCTTGTATGTCAGTAAACCATGATACTACCGCCATATACAGGGTCCCAACAACCACCACAGGAATTGCAGGTAATTTGGCGATCTGTAAATCAGGATAAATTTCTTCCCAAAGAAATCAACTCAACTCAGATTCAGCTAACATTTACTAAGTACCTACAACACACTAGAACATTCATATATATTCTCTCACTTAATTCAACAACAAAAACCACAAGGTACACGGTATTGTTTCCACTTTACAGATGTGGATATTGACACGCAAGGAGTGCAAATGACAGCTCCTAAGTAAGAGACTCGGGATTAACAGCCAGGCCCCACTGCCTCATGCTTCTTTAGCAGAAAGGCCAAATGCTGAGTGGCACTGAGAAGGAGGGGGCAGCCAAAAACTGAAAGCATTGTTCCCCAGGTTTACTCCGACCTTCATGCTTCCTTATCTTCTTTTCCCTAAGTTTCTACTTTCTCAAGTGTGAACTCAAGTCCCATCTGTGCCACGCACAGAAGCCTTCTTTGGCATTTTTGGTCCTCACCAACCTCTCTCCTCTCAGGTTTGTTTTTCTGGTTCGTGTAGTCCAGACTGCATCATTTAGCACTTCATCTTACATTGTTTTGTATTGTTTGCTGCATATGTATGTAGGCGGTACATGATGAGAAGGAATCAATATTCAATACAGATTCCTCCTCCCAAAATATGTAGGGAAGAATTATCTTCAAGCTATAAACTCTTAAGCACCTAATATGGACAGAGCAGAGATGTACAAAGATACTTCTGAGATGGGGCTGGACTGTTAGGCCTGAATGTATTAACACATGAAAAAGATCAACCAGATTCAGAACAGGCTTCATCAGAAGACAAACATGGTTTTTTTTCTAGGAATAGTGAAAATGGCTGTGTTGGGCTGTCATCGTCAATGACAGTCATTTGGCTTTCCATTAGATTTGCATAAGGGAGAGAATACGGGTTCGAATCTGTCTGACAGTTGTATTTTTCAAAATAGATTATTAATACTATGTCATTCTGTTTTTAGAAATCAGTCTCTGAGCTCTGTTACCATGAACCTGATCCACTCGTGGTGTGCTTGGTGTCACCCAGGTGACATCTGATGTCACTGCCCACCTTTTTCTAGAAGCACAAGCTCAAGGTAGGGATGAAGTAATAAGCACCGTTTGCATCTACGATGCTTAGTACTGTGGTAGGCATAACGCAAGCATTCAAATATTTGCTGACTTCTGGAATTTGTCACCCTAAGAGTTGGCACATATGAATAGTTTCAAGGAGGATTTTTAAAAAAATTCCTGGATAACATACGCACCATGCACTATGACAGGAAGCCAGAGCTCCTGGGGCGTGTCACAAAGCCCGGGCAGCTGCCAGCAGGAAGAACGCTTTCCCACAAATCGTCTCTTGGTACCCATTGTCAGAGGCAGAATGTTGGGTGCATGGGCACCAGACCTCTCTGCACATGGAGCATTTCTTGGGTTCTCAAGACACAAATGCTACATTGAAGTCTTCTCAAACAAAGCTAGTGACACCCAGTGCCCTCCTGCTTTGGATTCTAGGCCTCTTTCCAAGGGAGATTAAGAGGACAAAGGCTTGGGCCTGTGTAGCACATGCCAACACTACCCACCTCATTCCCCACATAAACGCTCCCCACCGAAGTGGTGAAGGAGAAATTCATCAAGAAATTATTTCCAAATAATGTGATACAGTCACATAGATAAGAGCTAGCAGTATTCTAACAAGATGCAGACCATTAATTTTGTAACATACCACTAATTATTCTCTGTACATAATACAACTTCATTCTTTTTAAAAAGGGTACATAAGGCAACACTCAAACAGATGGTTAACTTGAAAGGATTAAGTAATCAGGGCCCGGGGGCTACTGCTGCTAAAAGGTGCCATGCTGCACTTTACCCAACATTGTTTGAAAGCACTGCCGCAAATCTTATAATCCCAAAGGTCTCTGGGCCAGAGTCAACAAGGAGCCTCCCTCAGCTCCAGAAAGCCCAGCCAGGTTTCACAGGGAGGAATAGGAAACTGCCTCTGTCCATCTCAAAGTTTGCGGCAGATGACTTCACTCTAGCAAATCCGACTATTTGGGTCTTTACCGGAGAAAACAATGCCTGACACCGTGCCGAAGCCAACAGACTGGAAGCCAAGACAAACGGTGTGTATTCCTATGCTTCTGCCTCAGAGGCTAGCTTGCTATTAGGTGGACTTTCCATAACTTCCTAAAGAGAAGTTTCTTTAGGCCACACATCAGCAACTGCACTCGCAAATTAAATTCTTATAAAATTAAATAGCGCAGCCCCAAAACAAGAGAACTCAGAGGAAACAAGGCAGCTTTTTCAAAGGAATGCCTGTCACTCTTTCTAGAGTTTTATTTAACCTGGCTGGTGGTGAGACAAGCTAAGTAGAGCTTTGCCCAAGAAGAAAGTTCAGTCCTCAGAGAAGAAAAATACAAGTATTCTCATATCACAATCTGCCAGAGCTTGGAAATCAAATTAAGTTGATTTGTTAGTAAATTATGATTTCTCTCCTTTATTAAGTTCGAAGAGCTGCAAATGCAGTCACTGAGAGAAAATAGTGGGGTGGGGATGGGGGTGCAATTAATCAGAGATATGAACACTTAAAGGGTGGAAAACCTCCCGAAACCTCTTCTTGAGTCTCTGAAACTAGGATGAAAGGGGAAAAGGGGGTGGACAATTTGGGGCAAGGCTTCTTAACTAACCTGGCAATCTGGCTGTCACCGCTTTAAATGGTAAAGGTCTTCCAGGAAGCAACCCCCCTCCTCAGAATGCATCCACTTCCTTTTCTAGCTCCTTCCAGTTCAGAGGTCACCAGGCAGGCCTGGCTTCGAAGATAAAATGAACTGGTCAGCATTTATTGCTCATGACTAAAGCAGGTTTTATTTTAATTTCCTCTCTAAATTAGAAAGTGCCAATTATTTTTTACTTATACTTTTTTTATTTCATGACACATTTCCACTATCAAAACGTAGCCTACAAGTGTTTTATTCCTCCATAAATAAGTAAATAAAGCCAACTTTACATTTTTTATATTTCATGACAACCCCCCCAATCTATGAGCTGGAAGTACTTAGGAGTTTCAGAACCCAGGCTGCTGACAATTACAAATCAGAATGGTTCTCAGCCTCTGCAGCCACGAAGAAGGGAACCATCAAGCCTTTCTTGAAATCACTCTCCCAGGCTTTCCATGGTTGCTGGGGCAACTAATAAAGAACACTGTTGGTTTTTTTTTTTCTCCCCTCCCTTCAGTGTAAGCCCCAGGGAGGAGGGTCAAGCTGAGGGAAAAAAATACTACTGGGATAGGGAGGAAGCCGGCCCATGCTCTGTATTTCTACAAGGGCTTTAAAAATAACGCGAGTTGTATCCACTCCCCACCCCCACTTTCCTTTTTTCTGGCTCCACCCATTTATCCTGGCAGACAGCTGAGCCCTCAGCCATCTGGCATCCTAGTCTTAATGACACATGTTCCAATTTACATTAAGCCATTAGAGCTGTCCATTTCAGCAGGGCCGTTTCTGCTCTGGGCTAGGGGCTGGGCTCTGGGTTAGAAAACAGGCAGAGGGCGACCTCTGTGGGAGAACTGGGCATAGCTCTGACTGCAGGCCTGGGCCTTGCAGGCTCCGATGGGCCAGACTTCCTATCCTTTGTTCCACTTCACAGGGACTATCCAGACAGCAGACAGGCAACTCTGGGCAATACAAGGACCCCTTAGTTAAAGGCAGGACCGTTCTGTGCATCGCCCACAGTCTCTCCATAACAGTGCCCTGAAAGGGGAAGCGCAACTAAAACCCAGGCCTTCGCCCAATTACAGTCAAGGCTGCTACTCAGAATAATGAAGAGTTTCGTCAGACTGACCCAGGGAAAGGCTGAGAAATAGCTTTACTACCTTCCTGTCCAAGTGCTCTCAATTCTACTGTTGGAAATTGCGTCAGTTTAACGTGGACCAACAACATTAGAATCTAGGGTGCGGGAACTTTTTTTTCAGGAGACTTTATTCCTTTTTTAAATTAGGAACCGGGAATGGGAATCTAATACTATCCAGCAACAACCACAACAACTCTGGTTCTAATATTTAGTTTGGGAATAGGGGAGGGTCAGCAGCAGCTGAGAGAAAGACAAGGCGAGAGGCAAGAAAGAGAAGCGTGTGTGAATTAACATTTTCATCTGGTAGACTTTTAAGGGTATTACCAGTAAAGGCTGAAAATGATGCTTTACACGGGCATAAGTAGGAATAGAACTTCCTGGTATTTTCTTTACAAACCAGAAGTAATGTTTACATTACACATAAACGTCCTTTAATGAATTAATACTTGCTGGGCCCAGAAGTTAAGGGAACATTAAGAAACCCCTAATTTCCCCTGAGCTCTTGGTCTGAAAAATAACAACGGTCTCTATCAGGAAGCTTACAGTCTAGCCAGGAATACAGATCTTAAGAGGCTAATTTCAGGTCCGATGAGTATGATGAAAAGCAGAGGTTCTATAAGTGGATGGATATTAACCCGAGCAAGTGCCTGTAAGCTGTGCCCTGGAGAGGAATGTGGAGGTGGAGTGGATCCCAGCCCAGGGCCCAGCAAGTACAAAAGCCTGCAGGTGAGAAGGAACAGGACTGCTTTCAGCTCAGTAGGTCACTGCTAAGGGGAGCCTGGGTGAAGGGGAGCCTGAGAACGGGTTAAGCAGGCACCAACCGTGTTAGGGCTCTGGATGGGAAGGCCATGGTACAATGACTAAATTGCTGTAATTTCAGAAGTCCGGTTTTACTGTACTTCCTATTCCTAGGCATCTGAATACTGGGCTCAATTCAACTTCTTTTTTACTCTTGTCCTCCGTCCCCCGATCTACTATATGCCATAACTCTGTTGCTAAGCCTTTTCTATACATCTTCATTTAATCTCCATAACCATGAGAAGGAGGTGGCACTACTACAAGATGAGGAAACTGAGTAGTTAAGTACTTGCCAAGTTTACACAGTGGAGGACATAGACAGAGCCAGGACATAAAGCCAACGTGTCCGCTCACACTCCGGCACTGGGGTTTCAAGGTGAGCCACCATTCTCCCCTTAAGGAACATGTAGTCTAGTAGGACATACTTCACTTAGGCTCCAAATGAAACAAGGTTTAGGTTGGGATTTGTGAGACGAGATGGGGAGAGGGGTTGTGAACCTCAGAGTGTTGCATAGACGCAGGTGTTATAAATATAACCACACCCACAAGTATAGAATTTGCAAATTCACTGGTATTTTAAATATGACATTCACTCCTCATATTCATAAGGAGACACAGAGCTTAAAGAGAAACCAAACCTAATTTTTCCAAGATTCTTCTTCACAGAAAACAAATTACAAAATCTTTCTCTATAAACTCAGGAAAAAAAAACAGCAAAGTTTTGTGAATCAAAATAATAACTAGGGCCGGCCGAGTGGCGCGATGGTTAAGAACTGGCTTGGGACGCCAGAGGGCCCCGGTTCGGATCCCACATATGAGGGCCAGTGACACTGCCCTCCACAGCTAAGATGCTGAACAACAGCTCAACCTGGAGCTGGGCTGCTGTGAGTTGCCGGCGACGGCGTAGGCTGCAGCCCCTGTGGCAGTGGGTTGCCATGGGCTACCGTGTGTAGCCAGCAGCCAGCGTGAGCGGCCGTCCAGAAGCCGGCGACTGATCTGCCTCGCCCGGGAAGAGCGCAATGATGGTGCCAACTTGGGCCAGTGAAGCAACGTCCTCCACAACTAGACTGAAGAACAAAAGGACAGCAACTTGTCTGTTCCCCTTCCCCCAATTCCCCAGCACTGTTCCCATCACCCCAATTCCCCAATAAAAATCTTAAAAAAAATAAAAAAAATAATAATAATAACTAAAAACAGGTACTACAGCCAATATGTACCTCGTGGCAGGCAAAGATCAGGGTCATTTCTAGATAATGTGGACAGTCCTTCCCTCTCTCCATCAAGTTCTGACCTTATTACAACTTTGCCTTATTCCCGGGAGCAGGGAAAATATCTTCTCTAACCTTGTATCTCTCCAAATCTACACGATATCTGTCACTTAACTGTTGTTGCTCAATAAATCTTTGATTAGCAGATCAATTCCTAGTGTTTCCCCCGACCGGACTGGATTCCCAACTTTCTGAGGACTTTATAACAGAGCTGAGAAAAGGCACGCATACAACAAAGCTTATGCATCTGGCCCCAAACCTTCCCTTCCCTTCCCTTTTCTCAGGGGAAAAAATTCACTGCTAAACACTTTTCAATCTAGTCTAAACAAGAAGTGTAGAAACATAATTAACTTTCACTATTTCAAGAATTTTGCTAAAAATGAATATTCTTCTAAAGGTGTTCTTTGCCAAAATGTCTGTTTAATTTATTCCATGTAACCCTGCCAGTCGATCTAACGTTTTCACATGTGTTTATGTCATCAGGGTACCATCCGACCTCTAGTGGTGTTGTTAAGGGACACAGGGCACCATAGTTACTTTGCTATTATATTCCATGTGTAAACATGTGGACTAGTCAAAAAAAAAAAAAAAGCTGCATTTGAAAAATAAAACACACTATAGATGAAGCCCAGAAGGGTTAAAATGGGCAACTCTGATAACTTTTACTTAACAGAAATGCGGAGGCCTCCCTACCACTGGAATTCTTTCAGTGTTACCAAGCTCTCTGACCTGCTCTGAAAACCTCTCCCCTTAGATCAAGTCCCATTCTCTAGTTAAATTGCTTTATATTGACACTTTGTTATAATTCCAAGTTCAACTGGAAAGCAAGGTCACTCTCCTCACTCTTCTGACAGCCCATAACTAAGTCAAGCCACAGCTGGGAAGCCTTACAAAGCTCTTAAGCGTTTCCTGGTACACTTAATCCGGGTTCTCTATGTAGAGGTGCAATATCAGAGTTTATAATGTTTTATCCTGACGTGAACAAAATCATGCAACTGAAAACCTCAGTACTGTAGGAAAAAAGTTAAGGAACTGCTTTCCTGTGTAAGACTCTTGGCATCAACTCTAGCTTGTGGGTAGAATCATTGTGAAAGGGCAGTTGGTCTGATTTTTCATATATGCATAGGGCCCAAACTCATTATATTCAAATCTTTCAACTGTCATAAAAATGACATTATGAGCACATCACTCTCAAAGCTGCTTTCAGGATGCTGAATTCCCCAGTGGTGACAGGCAGAAGGCTGTCCGTGTTCTCTCCCAATCTCTATGAGGCCCCAAACTTTCATCTGGATAACGGAAAAAAGTTGTCTTCTGAAATGAATTCCAAAATTCTTGGCTTCATCACCAATACACTGCTTATTTAGATTATTCCACACCCACCTCTATAAAAACACTATTCAACATACCACCTCTCTTCATTCTCCCCCCAAGGAGAGCAATACTGTTATAGCTTCATAGGCTATACTGTTATATAGCCTATCTTGACTTATATTCAAAAAAGGGTACAGCTGTCTGGGAATTTGCATGAGAAATGAAATACCAATGGAATAAAATGCAGACCAACTAACTCACAGGCTGCTAGACACACAGGCACCCTACTCAACATCTCCAAAAAGTGGACGGGGTCCTCATCTCCTGGGGCCCGTGGAAGTATCATCCTGTGGATGCCTGAAGACAATGAGGCTTGTGTTTGGCTGTGAGCTCATTAATCCAGACAAGACTGTATCACCATTTTTTGCAATTTTCCTGATGGAGAAATCAGGCACTGAAGGCACAGTACAGACCCCAAGTCACAAGGTGTGTGGGGAACAGGAGCCAAAGGCCACCACATTCTGACTTATTTGGAATCTGCAAAAGGAGGGAAGCAAACAAGTTAAAGCCAAACTGGTTCTGGCTGTGGGTCTATAAGGGAGCCTGGAACAAAGGCTCTGTCTGTGTCTAGTGCCCAGCACAGTGCCTGGCACAAAATATCAGTAAATATTTTTTAAATTAATGAACAGCAGTTCCTTTCATCTATGTTTCCAAAACAACCTCAAGGAAGTTGATGAATTTCACGCTATGAGACAGGCACGATCAACCCCACTATAAAATGGGGAAACCGCAGCTCAGAGGAATTGACTGACCAGGTCAAGTCTGCAGCGAGGGACCACTGACCTAGTAAGCACATCACTACCCTGGACACTTACACCCCAGCCAGGCCTTTCCCACATGTTACCCTGTGCTTACACGACGCCCCCACCTCGCGCCTCAGTCACATCAGGCTGGGGACAGGACACCGGAGCGACCGCCTGGCCTCCCCCCAGGTCCCCTACACGACACAACTACCCGCCACTCGGTCCCCAGCCTCTGGGCAAGGAGGGAGCGCGGCCCTGCACCCTGCCCCACCGCCGCCCCCAGTCCCTTACCTTTTTGTCCCAGATCTGCAGGGGCTTGCTGCCGATGCTATAGAGGATGGAGAGGAAGCCGCTCTGGAACGTGTTTTTGAACATCTCGCAGGCGGCCTTCTCTTCGGCCGCGCCGCAGCGACCTAGATATGAGCACCAAGTGGCGAAGGTAAAACAAGGAGCCGATCCTGGTCCGAACAAGGGATGCTGCGCTGCTGAGCTCCGCACCGGCAGCCACCGACAGCTGGATTTGGACACAGGGAACTCTGTCCGTGAATTTCAACTCCCACGAGGAACAACCCAAACTAAGACCGAAGCCACAGTAACTGCCGCTCGCGCCACTCTGCCCGTCTTAAATGGAGGCGGTGGGCCGCCCGTCTCTTAAAACGGATCCCTCCGCCTACTTGAGCCCGCCCCCTGTGAGCGCAGGGTCCAATCCCGCCACAGGCGCACGGACTTCCTGTTCCTTCTGCTCTTAAACCCGTCCTAGTTCCGCCTCCTCGCGCAGAGAACTCCGGGGCCGAGGGGCTATTTTTTCCCATCGTAGCTCTGAGCTGCTTTTGGAAGCGGAAGGAGACAGAGGATATGGGCATGTATTGTTTATACCTGTGTGGTGTCGTCATGGGAACCTGGCGGGGGGAGGGGTCACGAGGCGTGAAGATCAAGCCCCGCCCCCTGAGGGGCGAGGAGAAGTTAGACGCACAAAAGAGAAGTGGAGAGAGGCGGGTGAGGAGGCATGGCTAGGCAAGTGTTTACCTGGTATCCTGCGAATGCCAAATAAATGCTGTTGGCCGAGTACAAGGTAAGATTAAAGCAGCTAACCGGTATTAATCACTAACTGAGCTAAGCGCCTTATATGCATCGTTGCTTTAATTATTAACAGGGTCGCTATGAATACACCACGTGTATTAACTTGTGGGATGTAGTCAAAGCAACACTCCTGAGGAAAATTTATCTCCTTAAATGCATTAGAAAACAAGAAAGCCTGAGCATTAAGGTGAAAGCAGACGTTAATAAAATTAAACAATAAAGTCAAGTTGGTTAAGTTGAAGCAACAGCTGTTCTGTTTGTTTTTTTAAATCAACACTCAGAACATATTTTTTAAAGACATAAAATAAGCTATGATATTTCAAGTGTTGAAGAAATCCAAAATGTTGAAGACCACTGAGCATCTACCTAGATATTATACTTGGTGCCAAGGCCTGTGGTGGGTATTGTGGCTGATAGAAAAAGAGTTTGCAGCTAACTTCATCATAAGGGCTAACAATAGTTAACATCAATTGAGCATTTATTATGTGTCAAGCACTATACTAAGCGCCTTACCCTTTATTAAATAATTTAATCCTCACAGCAACCCTGTGAACAATTGAGGGAGAACTTCCAGACATGGGGGGGGGGGACGCGGGGGTTGTGTTAATATATGGATCATATTACAGTAGAAAGTCAAAACTTTTTATATGAAACTTATTTTTGAATGATTTCTGGGGACTATATACTTTTGGCCAGTGAACAATTTATCCCTTGTTATTCCATTTTTCAAAATATCCTAGGGGGATACACAATTATCATACATTAGATTTTCATGTGCACTTGAGCCTATTGCAGGATTTTTTATTCTGTTCCATTGAACACTGACACCACCAAATGCTGGTGAGGATGTGTAGCAACAGGAACTTTCATTCATTGCTGGTGGGAATGCAAAATGGTGCAACAACTTTGAAAAACAGTTTGGAAATTTCTTACAAAACTAAACATACACTTACCATAGGATCCAGCAATGCCACTCCTTGGTATTTCCCCAAAGGAACTGAAAACTTATGTCCACACCAAAACCTGTACATGGATGTTTACAGCAGCTTTATTCATAATTGCCAAAACCTGGAAGCAACCAAGCTGTCCTTCAGTAGGTGGATAAACTGGTACATTCAGACAATGGACAATAGTTATGGATTATAATAATGGGCACTATTCTTCAGTGCTAAAAAGAAATGAGCTATGAAGTCATGGAAAGACATGGAGGAAACTTAAATGCCAATACTAAGTGAAAGAAGCCAATCTGAAAAGGCTATATACTGTCTGAGTAACATTCTGGAAAAGGCAAAACTATGAAGACAATAAAATGATCAGTGCTTGCCCGGGTGGAGTGGTGGGCAGTGAAAATAATTTTGTAGCACCCCCATACCCTATTTCCTCATAGCCTGCTTTATTAGTTTTTCATGGCACATATCACTACTTGATAGTCTATATAGATATTTATTGTCTGTCTCCCTGCACTTGATTTTGAGCTTCTGAGAGAAGGAATTTGACCTGTTTTGCTTGTATTTCCAGTACTCAAACCAAATGCCTGCAAAAAAATGGGTATGCAGTAAGTAAATGTTGAATCTGTGAATGAGTCACAGACTTGGGGTTCCTGGTCATTGCAGGCCCAGCACAGACTCTGTCCTGGCCTCAGCAGCTCCAGACCCATCCAGACAATAGAGATCTTCTGCTCAGAATTAGGGCTCACCTATTCCATTTGCCTGCTCACATTTCTCTCATTAACCATGCAGTCTCCCCAGTTAAAATGGAAATACCTTGAGCATGTGTGGGCCTAAGTGCCCTGATAAGATAGCCCGTCAATGAGCAAGCTGATGGGGGAAAAGGAAAGTGCTTACTTCTAACTACTCATTCTCAGTGAATGTCCACATGAGCTGTATTGCTCCTTATGTTGAGGTTCAAAGTGTATTGTTATCATGGCCTTTGCTACATAAAACTTGCTTGATCAAATGTTTGGAGAACATAAATTACTGTTTAGCAAACACGTCGACTTGATGTTGGCATGCTTCTTCCAGGTGCAGACTGTCTTCTGTGCATGTGTCACAGCCCCCAGCACAGTACCACCAGCATGACAGGCACACAGTGGATGGATGGATGGATGGATGAACAGAAGGAGTCAAATGGTCACCTCTGACATTTACCTTCATTTCAAAGGTAATGTAGACCAAATTAACCTAAAACTACAGATGTTTCTCACAGAAACACGCATTAAACACTGTATTTCAAGATTATTTTCACTTCATCAACATGAAGGCATGTTAAGGACAAAACGCAAGAAAAATCTTGCTAATAAATTGCTTCCTTCCATGATTATACAACTAGAATGGGGGAGATGATTCCGTTTTAAAAAATAATAAAAGAACAGAATCTAATGCAGTAAAGTGATTACAGTCTGGGCAGTGGGTACAGAAACTCAACTGATACAAATCAAACCATTAAAAGTTGCAGACGAGGAAAAGTAATCGACTGAGGTGCAAGATATGTGGTGGTCTTGGGAATCCCATTACTACAAGAAGGGGCTGATTCTTAACCTGCAGTTTGGGTAAAACCATCACAGAAGTAACAACCAGTCCTGTGCCCAGCCCAGAATCTCTGACCAGGGACAAGTCACAGTCCTGCATCTAGATTGAATATGTCACCTCGACGGGGTGTCAAAACCCACACAGAGATTATGGCAAGTAAATCAAACCCATTCTATCAGTAATCCATGTCAAAATGAGGAATAAGTTTCTGATTATTGGGACATTTTGTTCATTATTTAAGATACTTGAAATATTTAAGATAAGGTATTAGAGGATCTGACCCTTTGAATTTGAAATGCTTAAAGGAATTTGAAATTAGGTTTGTGATATTTTAATTTAAAAATATCTAAAAATGTTAATGAAGTTTGCAAACAATGAATGAAAGATTTTGATTTGTTATATCTGAGTTTAGACTTAGATATTGTATTTGAATGCTTAGGAAGATTGTGTCAGATTTTCGGGCTTTCATATTTGCTATTGGAAGTTGGTGCAAATTAGATTAAATATGTGGGTGACTCTGAAATGTCTAAGGAAACCAGATTAAGTGTGTGAGCAATGTTTATAGTTTAACCCATTAAGTTTTGGATGAGCTGAGCATTGATCAAAGATTAAGCAAAATAATTGTTTATATTTATATACCAAACCAAGTAGTTATAACAAGATTTGTAAGTTGATTTTAAAGACACAAGACAAATTAGATTTTTAAATGTACAGCTTTAATAACTAAGATATTATTTAAAACACCAGGAACAATAAGAATCCCTTTCAGTGCACAAAAGCCCTGGTCAGGTGCTAAAACCCAGTGGACAGTGTCTGTTCATGTCCAAGCCCAGAAACTCAGAGCACCTGCCCTCCAAGAGACACAAGGGACTTGACACACACTGTAAGGCGGAGTTTGTTCTTCATCCCTCCTTGTTGATGGGTTGGGGAGGAATCGCAGTGAGATGAGGAGCTGTGTGGAGAATCACCCCTTCTTAGCTGACAGCAAAGATAGGAGAATGTCCGAATGACTGGGGCATTTAGCTGGCAGATGGAAGACCACGGAATCCCAGCTCCAGTGGTTATGTCCAAAGACCATCAGCCCTGATGACATCAATAGAAGAGCTACTGGTGGGCAGATGAGGAGGCTCCTGCTAATCTGAGGATGAAGTTCAAATGGGACTCCATTGGGCCCCTGCACAGCGTTATTTTCAAGTTTTTATTTTAAAACTTACAGTAAAATGTACTCTTTTTGGTGTACAGTTATGACAAAGGCACCAAGTCATAATAACCATCACCACACTTAGGATACAGAACAGTTCCATCACCCCCAAACTCCCTCATGCTAACCCTAGTCAAACCCTCTCTTCCACCAACGCCCCCTTAACCCCTGGTTGCCATGGACTCTTCTCCATCCCTACATTTCTGCCTTTTCAGAATGTCATATAAATGGAATCATTCAGTAGGTAGCCTTTTGCATCTGGCTTCTTCACTTAGCACAATGCATTTGAAATGTACATTATTTTAACAGCTTGTGGAATATTCTACAGAGGGTTGCTCATCCATTCTGCCACCCAGCCCCTCTGGCCAGGGATGTTTTAAAACATTTGCCAACCCTCTGCATTGCTTATTTTTGAAAGCGTCCCCACAGCATTGCAAACATATTAAAAGGCAGCCATTTTTTCATATTCAAGATAATTTTTTTCCTGTAATTTTTCAAAAAGATCTTTAGAATTTGCTTTGGAAATTATTTGATTTTGTGATTGTGACTCTTCACTAATTATGAGACATTAATTTTTTTTCAGGTCTCAAAACATTTCTGTGGGCCCCTGGAAAGTCATAGACCCTGGGCACCATGCCCCACGTGCTCAACAGAACCCCCACACGAATTCCATGACTAAAGGTAAAATCAAAGTTCCAACCTAAACCAGTGAGAGAAGGGATGGAAGACTGCTTTCTCTGAATCATAACAATGCCCTTTCTAAAAAAAAAAAAAAAGAAAAGAAAAAATAGAAAATCATGTGGCACAGTTCTTTTCATTTTATCTCACAAATATATGTGCAAATGTGTTCATCGCAGAAATTGTGCTAATAGTACTGGGAAGTCTATTAATAAGGGGTTGCTTCCACTGCAGCACATTGTGTAACAGAATACTATGCAGCCACGAAAAGGGGTGAGGTAGATCCATACATGCTAACACAGTCAGATTTTCACAAGTGAAAACACAAGTTGCAGAAAAAGACTGTTGAGTCTGATTACATTTCTGTAAAAAAGAAAAGTCATTATAGTTAAAAATGTTAGTAAATGCACAGGAAAAAAACTGAAAGGTAAACACCACATTTAACCATGGTGACCTCCAAGGAAGGCAAGTTTCTGTACATGTGTGTATGTGGTTGGGGGGCAGGGGGAGGCTTTCATTATTTTTTTTTATGTAACATGCACTTTTTACCATGAGCATATATTTTTTGGTAACCAGGAAAATTCAATAAGTGTTACTTTGAAAAACCCACACAAGCAGGACTATTGAAGATGTGAACTGATGTGCTGAATTTCCAAGCACGTGTGGATGAGCATTAGATTGGTCTTGGGTTAGCAGGTTCCTTGTTCCCTCTATCAAGGTCAAAACCACCTAAGAAAAAACTCCTTTTCCTTCTTTCTACAACCAAGCGCTCTGCCACCGAGCAACAGTCATCCACAAAAACCAAAATTATCTTGGCTGAGAGGTTCCTGGAAAACAAGACTTTCACACAGGAAAGTTAAAGAGCGCCTTGGTTGAGGAGGGAACCTGGACAAAGCTAGCGTTCAAGTTCTGCGTGGCATCTAAAGATCTCCCAAGCCAACTACCATGTGTCTGCTCCGAAGAGACCCTTCCCATCCAGGAAGACCCTTGAACACCCCGTGCCAACACGGAGATAACATGCTATGCAGATAAACATGCACACACGAAGCACCACGTCCACAGGAGCTTCTGGAACACATTCATTCTAACAGGGTACTGAGATTCTGTCCCAGAGATCTGGGGGACCAACAGAAATTTGCAGAGCCATAAGTCAAAGGGGCCTCACGAGAGAGACTGCTTGAGAACACCAGGCCGGTGATGGAGCTGGAAAATTACCAAGTCCGTCCATTCAGTCCCACATTAGCCTTACAGACTGGTGGCGGTGGGCCTGCGGGCCGGGCTGTCACTCGGATATCCGGGGACATGCAATCTTGAGCTCCCACACCTGAGGAACTGCTTGGATACCACAGAAGCTGGGCTCAGGGACACCGTGACGCTGTGATGGTCCTAAGGGGCCTCTTTGCTTTTCCCCCATAATTGCTTCAAAAACTGAGCTGGAGGGGATCCACACCTGGGTTCCCAGGCACCTGTTCAGGACAAGCAGCAGAGAAGACGGGAGAAAGCAATGTCTTGCAGACCAAGTGGCTTTTGTGAATTAGTGGGTGCCCCATCCAGCTGCCCGAACACTAGGGTCTGCCTGGCACTTCTCTCTGCTCTTTTCAGGCAGTGGGAAGACGCAGGCCACAGTCAGGCCAGGCTGGGCAGTCACAGGTTGTCGCTTTTACTTCCCTGTGGCACAGCTGTCCTAGAGGGGAGGACCGAGGGAGCCAGCGAAGCCTCCTTTGTAAAACAGTCTCGTTTTGTCCACATAACAAATACAACCAGTGCTTCTCTTCCATCCTTTCACATTGAGGGGGCCGCTTCTCCTCTCAGCTCATGGGAGCTTCAGAATGTGATCAGCAGCAGCCCTTGGATCTGGACCCGGGACCCCAGATCCCTTCCCTGCCTCCAGAAAAGACTCAACGCCCTCCAAGCTAAGATGCATGTTCAGAAGGGGGCATGGGGAGAGCGGACAGGAGCGGGAAGTGCAATGGAGACGCCAGCACAGGGGCTAAGGCACCTTCCTGAGTTCACTAGAGGTGACACTTATCTACCACCGACATTGCTGGGTGACTCACCTGCCCTGGGAGACGGCAAGGGAGGATGGACGTGTTCAGGACAAAGCCGCCGTGCTTTCCTGGCTCACCGAGTCTCCTTGAATCACCTGCCCCTTCCCCAGGATTAGCTCCCTGTCCCCTTCAACTTCTCATCTCTGTCAACTGCATCCTTAAAACCTGCCCTCCTCACCTCCGGGACTACCCCTCCTCTGGCCAGACCCTGGCATGAATGAATGCTGTTTCACTCAGTCTTCTGTGGCCACGGGTCTTGGTTAATGGCCCCTTCCATACTGAAAACTCTCCATACATTTCTTTTAAAACCTTTTATTCAATAATATATACTTTTAAAATTATAATATGTAACTGCCCATCATGCCATATATGTCCCCGTTCCCCGCTGTGGAGTCTGTGGTCTGCTGGAAAAACAGGCGGCCACCGGACAAGGGGCGCGGGGAAGCCACAGTAACCAACAACCGCTTTGCATACCCTTCACATTTCCCATGCTTTCTGGGTCAGGAGGAAGTCAACAGGAAGCCAAAGGCGTGTGAACCTTTTACATTCGGAAGTGAGGTTTGATATACGGTGGTGGGCTGCCCTTCAGTTGGTCTAGTTCGTGCTCGCCAAACCTGCCACCGTTTTGTGTCTGCTCACGGCACGTGATCTCTCTACACACGTTAAGACGTTTGATTTGGTTCTTGTTCTGCTTATGGAAAAGTGAGAGGAACCGCAACAGACCTGGGGAAAGAGATGGGAGGAGGGGAAAGATGGCATTAATCAATCTGACCAGGAGTGAGGATAGGTGTCCACTTGTGCGGGGCTGCCTTCTTTTGGAGGGCTGGGAATAGTACGCCAGCTTGACTTTCCCATGCCACTTTGTGGAAGACCTAGTAAGAACTATGATTTCAGGTTCCAAACAGTACCCTCTTCCTTCCTCTTCTGATCAGCACTAACAGAGGCAGTCTTTGCACGGCCTTCTGAGAGCAGGGGAAAGCTCTGGACACCATGTGTGTGACCCAGTGTCTTCCCCTTCTATCACGTCTAGGACGCTGACCACTCAGCAGGCCAAGCTACAAGTTCAGTGGTCCACCTGTAGGTCTCCATCAGACCTATCCGATTTACTGAGGACAGCTTGGGACTAAGAATTAGATGACTGTATTTACACAGGGAAAGGGCTGACACCACTATTACACAGCACAGAGGGGGCTCATATTTTTAACTCTCCCCTGGAAGTGGCTGCCTGGCAGGGCCCACAGTGAAGTGGGTGGTGAGACGCCAGCAGCATTCTGGCTGCTGTCTCAGATGGGTATGACAGCCCCGAGGGGAAGAGCTAGAGCTATGCACCTGGGATGCTGTCACACAGAAACATCATCTCATGTGAAAACTTGCTCTGGGTAAAGGGCTCTACTGCTTACTATTTGAGACCGCATGGCGCACAAGGTTAAGAAACGACTCCACTCTGTACCTTTAAGCACTTCAGCAACTGATTTCCAAGTGTCCAGCCCCACAGAAGGCCCAGCCAGGGGAGAAGGGAGGGAGCACACTAATTCAAGACACCACCATCTGCCAAGCACTAGCATGTGCCTGACAGTGTTGCAAGGAACAGGGTGGGGAGAGATTCTCGCAACTGCAGAAGACGCTGCCACAAAGGTCAAAGTCGTGCAATACAACAGGCCAATCCCAAGCAGCAGGTGTCTGAGGGGCGCAATTCAGCACCAAGAACCAAGAAACACAACGATCCCCACCACCACGCACTCCAGTGCCACCTCCTGCTAAAGGCAAGTTTTCACACCAAGGTGGTTAAATGCAACCGCCACACGCAGTTCAAGAGTTATCCCTCCTCTCCTCCCAAGTCAGGAAACACAAGCTTATGGTCCTCAGAGCAGTGGCTGGTCTCCCACTTGGGAAGGCTGGTGATAACCAACATTTTTATTTATGAAAACAGGATTTAACATTGCATTTTTCTTTCCCTTAAGGACAGCAGCATGGAAATTATACATCATCAGTCATCCAGTGATACAAAGAGGTGGCCAATTGTCTTTGAAGTCACTTATAAAGGATCACCAAGCAGGCAGTGTTGCTTTTCTGCGAACAGAAGGAAAGTCGGCTCCATGGTTCTTGAAGATTTATCCAAGCTTTCCACTGGGTGCCAAGACTTCTGTCCCAACCTCTCAGTCACCATTTACAGCAAGAAAAGCCAGCAAGTGAAAAACTGTTAATTTATTGATTCAATGAAAGTTTTTTTTTTTTTCTTAAACAATCCTCAGTACATGTAGTTCAGGATTAAGTATCACATTTGTAGCACATTGTTGAGTCTCTACACAGAAGTACGCACCACCTGTGTAATCCCATCGCATCCCTTTCTGCAGCCTGTACACCCCTGCTTGTGGTCATTTTCATTACCACATCCATGTCGCTCAAAAGCGCGCGTTATTACTGGTCTCCTTAGCGAGATGTATCCCCGCCACCTCCCCTCCCCCATTCCCACCCTGGGGTTAGATTTTAAAGGCAGGACATTATCCAATCTCAGATTTACGAAGGTCACTGACAAACTTTGGTTTCTTGTGTGCTCATGTGGACCCTGCTTTTGCGCTTTCGCAAGGGTTTCTATTTCAATGGCCTTGACTCTGATCAGTTCCTATTCACTCCCATTTACGTCTAGGAGGGAAGTCTGCTTTTTCCTGTGGACGCTCATGCGGTAGTAACACAGGTTTCTAAACAAATCATTTCATCTCCACTGGCATGAAAGGAAACCCTGAGGCCCATTTCGATGCACATATGAGAACTCTTCCAGTTGGTGTTTGTGTCCCACAATAAATCTACCTCCACCCTCATGAATGCCGCTCCTGGGAGAACCTGTCATTTCCCTGAGTAGGCGCAGACTGAGACCCCACGGCCTCAGCGAGAGCACCACCTTCCAGCCCCACTGGAACCAATCCAGGGGCAGTGCCCACCTCAGCGCACATTCCAGAACATGAACTCCATGCCCCCTAGTTTTCTCCCCTGAAGTCATGTTCCCTCCCCTCCAGCTCGACCTGTTGGCTCTTATGGGTTCCGGTTCCCTTCTTTTAACAGCCCCCGACCCTGCTTCTCTCCCAGCCCCGAGGGATTACAAGCTCTGATTGATCAGTCTGAGAGCACCTTCCTTCGCTGCAAGGAAACACATTGGCTTTGAGCCTTGTGAGTACCGAGGTGCTAGAGAACGTGTTAGGAGACCCAGCGGAGTGAGTGATGTTTAAGTGCCCCACAAAACTGGCATTGGCACTCCTCTAATTGGTAAGAAGACCCAGAAATGCTTGGTCTGCGTTATAATTTGATGGCTTCTCCCACCCAGTCGCCTGCCACAGGGACAGGATAGGATGGGAGGCCAACTGATATGATCCAGGGGAGACTGAACTGCAAGCAAACCACAGATGAAAATATTAACAGTTCTGTTCTCACCATGGGAATTCTCAGCTGAGGCAAAACCTTGTAGTTATGCTCACTTGTGGTCAATAGACTGATATACCGATCTGTATTTGGCATAGGAACCTCCTGTTCTCACCATACCAGGTCTATGTTCCTGAACATAGGCAGTACCTGAGATGACAGTGTAACACTACCCTGTTCTCCACATTTTTTTGCTTTTCTTTAGGAAGTAGTAAGTCCTATCATAGGCACTTTTAACCTGTTATAAGGTAATGAAGCGAACAAAATGTCTAATGAGAATTACTGAGATGAATTTACGAAATGCGCTGACTGAAAAGGACAGTGGGTGGGTAAATATACCACAGCTTAGTCTAAATCAGACGAGACTCCCGCTCCTACACACACATATATTCTCTCTCATCCCTCTCCATCCTAACTCAGGTAAAAAGAGAAAAAGGTCTGGACTGGACTCACTTCAGTTTGAGAAAAAACCACCTACAGTCACAGTCAGCCAGCAAGTTGGGTGTCAAGACCAGACTCAGAAAGGAGTATTTTAAACTCAGTTCTGCTGTATGTCTAAGGCATGAAGAGAGGTAAAAGCATAGGTGGTAGAAAAGTAAACTATGCATAAAAAGGAAGAGTTACTCCTGTGTTAAAGCTGCAGTTACAGAACCCAAGGACAGGCAGGTTAGCGTGTTTGCACCTATTAAATCATGACCAAAGGAGAGCGAGGCACAAGTAAATCGCCTGGCTCTTCTCCAGATGCTTTTATTGCCTCTGGGGACCCAAAGGAAAGAAACTGGGGCCACTTCACCCGGACCCTCCAGTAGGCTCCCCCTGCTGGTCTAGACAGGCAACTTAAAAAACAGTGGGGGGCTGGGAGAGGGCATAGGGGACAGGGGAGGAGATGAGAGGTAGGGGGCAGGAAAGACACACAGTGGCACATCTCCCTGATAATAACCAACAGCTCAGTGTCGCCCTACAGGGCACATTAGAAGGCTTCTGACAATCCAGAACACTGAGCTGTGCTGCCTGACACAGCGATATAGGATCAGCCAAGAGCTCGCGTCTTGTCTTTAATTTTCAGGTAGAACAAATGTATACGTTAATATACACAATGTGCAATGCAGGCAGGTAGTATTGGTATAAGAACCTTAACTGAATGCATTTTCTGGCTTTGGGATCTTATTTTTATTTTTTCATCTGTAAGTTCAACTCTACAATAAGAGTTTTATTTGTATTTTAAGTTCCCACCAACCAAATGACAAAAATAGAATCTACTTTTAGAGATAGGACCTGCTACCAATACCAATATGATTTTTATTGGAATATGGAATGTAAACAGATGCTTTCAAACAAACAATCTAACCTTATTAAAATGTATGGCATTATTAAATAGTTAATAAAGAAATCCTAAAGTGTGACGTGGTGGTAGACACCTCTAGCTCTTGCCTAGGTGTGTGAGGTCCCCACAGCTTGGCTCTGCAGCTGGGGTGAGGGGACTGCTTGCAAACCATGTTGGTGACAAGTCCCCCAAATGAAATCAGCCCTATTTTTAATTTTTAAAAACAAACTCTAGCTTCCTTTGCTAACGTGAAGGCTAGCACAGCGGGTCCCAAGCTTTGATACCTGCTCCCGGAGCCCCACTTCCTTCCCCAGGCCCCTGTGTTGTTCTCCTTGGTCGCTTGGGTTATGGGGCGGCTGGCTCTGCCCACACAACTCCAGTCTCTGCACGTGAGACATACTGTCTCTGCTGTCACATTCATGTATTACCTATCAGAGCTTAAAAAATGCAGATTACCCTGATTATTTGGAAATTAAGTGGGAAATTATTTCTCATGGGGACAAAAAGAGGCAAAAGGGGGGTGGGGGAAAAGACATTTTTTTCACCCAATAGGTCATTCCTTAATACATTCTAAGAGGACATTTTTCTCCCTTCCTGACCTGCCTAAAGGCTGACTTCCAGCTTTAGTTATGGTTGTGAACAAAACGTCTGTTTTAGAGAGAAGAGTTAAAGTAGGTGCACACACAGGGGTGTGCTGGGAAATGGTAAGGTTTCCATACAAGGCTGCCAAAAAAAAAAAAAAAAAAAAAGCTACACAAAAAGCAACAAGATTTTATGGTTAGGCAAATCAACGAAGATTACAGTGAGCTCCAAGATATGTACTCAGTTAGCATCTAACTTCTGATGAGACAGGTGGACCTATTCACGGCATCACAAGATTTAAAGTGATGTCTGCTGACATCAAAGGGGACTCGTGAGAGTGACTGCAGTTTACTCCCAAATGAATACAATTAGAAGGAAACTGCAGGGACGAGGTACATTTCCTAGAGAGCTCATGTCATAAAAAAATACATAAAACATGAATTTGTAAAAGAGCTTTAAAAAAAAAATACTGTCACTGTTTTAATACCTCCTTTTCATAAATGAGGCTGGTGTGTCAGTACAGGCTGCTGACGTGTTGCTAAAACTTGAGCCTGAATCTCACCCAAGGAAACCCAGACCACAGTGGAATAGATAGGAAGTCAGATATTCAGAGCTTGTTGACCAAACGTGTTAATTCAACAGTGGTCTCCTGTTAAGTAAAGGTAACTGCACAACAACTCCGAGTCTCTATCCCCCATGCATTCCAAAGGGAGAGGCCCTCAGATCCTGAACTATGTGCATCGTCACGCTGCCAGAGCGGCAGCTCCCTGCAGACTAGTACTGGGGAGTTTCTTTCTTTTTGACAGACTTTTAGGTCTTTACTCTTCTTTGCGTTTAGAAGGAATGACTAGAATTTCTTTTTATCACACTGTAGTTTTCCTTCAAGATTTGTTTGGTTGGTTGGTTTTATTGGCAAGCATCAACGCCGCATTACCCGTCGCTTCCCAGTCTTCATCGGGCTGCCGTGAGGCCACTGGAAAGTACAGCGTTATCTGCGCAGGGCTGGGACTGCTCCTTCACCACGGGGTCTGCAAGAAAGCACGGGATGGAAGTGAGCAGAACCAGGGCTGGTCGGTGTGGGAGCGGACACCGCGACAAACCCAGCCCCTCCACAGCGAGGTCACTAGAGGCACACTGCCGGAAGAGTCAGGGTCGGGGGGCAACAGAAATTACAGAATTAGGGTTACAGAAAATCCAGACACTGAAAACCATCAGGGGAAACGCCTTCCTACTTCCTCAGAGTACAAATTCATGGAGAAGAGTGGCCCTGAAACACTAATTTCCCAATGCTCAAAATTTCTACTTATTTTCTTATGTGTTATTTTCCTTGAATATTAACATAATACCCAACCCCCAATCTCTTCAAAGCATATGCAATAAGCACTTTGGAGGAAAGGGTTAATAAAAAGAGCCATTAGAAGAGCCAATTTTAAGCAACAGTAGTTTAAAACATTTTTTATAGAAGTATGCGGTGTGTTCAGAAAAGTAGACAGATCATGAATTACATACTGTAAACATTAGTGTTCTTAATTCAATCTAACTCAAAGGATGAAAATAGCTTTCTGTGCCAGACAAAGACATCGAATTGAACTTAACCTTTTAAACGTGCTGTCTAATGTTTATGGGCCAGTACGTTCAAGACCATATAAAATATAGTGATGTATTCTTCAGGCAAGACTTAGTCAATCTCCAAAGGGGGGAAAAAAGAAGGAAAGATAGCATACTGGTCAAGCAACAGACAAGTTGAAAGTTGTCATCTCAATTTCAAATAGTGAATTGAGACAGGTCACTTAACCTCCCTTATTCTCAGTTTCCTCGGACCGGACTAAATCATCTCACATTGCTGGTAAGAAAGAAGTGTGAGACGTGCTTTATCTATTAGTGGAGAGAACTATATTCATGCAGAACAATATGCAACCACATAAACTGAATATATACACAAATTCTGAAGTGGGACCTAAGAAGTCAGTAATTCAGACAGGATTTCAGTGAGGTCTTTCCATACCTGCTTTCCTTTCCTCAAATTCCTTTATTTATTTAACTCATTTCCTTCTTTAAAATATACTATTGGTTACCTTATTATTTTCCACTAATTACTTGCTTTCTGAGGGGGAAAAAAATCTTTAATTAGGTTTCCATACAAACGTATATATTTGAAAACAAATTTTATATACTTGTGACCTATCAACTCAGGGTCACGGGGAATGGTCAAACAGACCAGACTCAAGGAAGCGACAGCGATGAACACACACACACCTATGGGGATCAAGAAACAGATCTACTAAGTAATCTCAATAGTCTAGAACTAATGAGGCCCAATCCAAGGGCATTCAATCCAAATGCCTACTTTTCTCTTGACTGGCCTCAAAGAGAAAGGGTAGAATTTTTCCTTTAATAAACAAGGCCCCTGCAAAGCGCCTGAAGACTCACAGAAGTACGGGTGCTCCATGGCCTCCTTGGCAGTCAGTCTCTGCTGATGGTCGTATCGCAGAAGCTTGTCCAGAAGATCTAGGGCCTCGGGGCTGACGAGGTGTCTGTTCTCACTATGGATAAAGTTTTCCCAACGTTTCCGTGAATGTCTGAGAAGAAAAGGGAAGCGTGAGTATCCTGAGATTCAACTCAACAAGAATCCTTACATAGTAGGGCTAACACCAACAAAATCTCAGAACACTGCGCTGACTACAGACCCGTTACATCTCCTCCTTACTGGTACCTCCGCCCCCCCACCCCCACCCCGCCCCAAGATACGACTACAGGCTCCTCAAAGAAAACAGTGCTCTGTGACTGACAAATAGAATTAATTAAAACTTCTACATCTGATTTAGAATTTGTGGAACCTTTCTAGATGATTTTTTTATGTCCCAGGCTTTTAGTCAATTATGAGTGAGGCACAGAAGTGACTCAGTAATTTTTATTATTCAGCAGATATATTTAGAGAGTTAGCCTCAGAAACATGGAGGTTCCATAAAATACTGTTTAAAAATTATCAATACATTTACTTTCAACACTATTGTACTGTACCTAAATGCATGCTTTAAAATTTGCTCTGTTATAGAAAATCCATTACACAGAGTAAGAAATTATCTCTTATTCAAAGGAGAATCACGGCTTTCTAAGATTTTCCATTATAATAAGTATATGCTTATACCAGAAAGCTTTTTTTCTGTAACATAATTTTGTCTTACATTTCCCATTGATACACAGGCTCTCTTAGAGAAGGAAAATGATTAGGAGATACACATAAACAATGTCCAAATATCTCAACGTAAGTTTAAAAAACTATACATAGAAAAAAAGGAGGACATTTCAGTTTTGGTGTGAGAAAGGGGTAAGAGCTTTAGAAAGTCGTTCCGGCTAACCTTCCACTTCTGAAACGGGCTAAGTTACAACCCTCTTTCTTTCTCTCTCTTACTTACTGTCCCAGGATATCGTTGAAGTGTGAATCTAGGTCTATGTGATACTTCTTCAGATACCCATACAGCTCATCTGTACCCAGAACCTTGGCAATGCGAACAAGCTGAAACACAAAACAAACTGACCAAATCACTGAGCAAAGAACTCACTGCAAGCCTGTGGGGACACTGAACCAAGGCATTAGAGGACTGCCACATCACTAAACTCTCCAGGGACAGATACAGATTCGAGCCTGGGGCAGACAGGTAGCAGAGCCCAGGACACCAAGTTTATATGAATACAGATTTCCAAACTGCCTTTAAAACGATAACACAGCTTAGGACAATAATCTTCTAGAAGTTGACGATTATGGGGCATTACACTCTAATGACTGGAATCCAGTTTTATTAGACAAGGAGGTGCCTGACTTCATCAGCTCCCTTTGGAAGTTGCGCATAAGACAGCATTATCTATCTTTGGGAACCTGGTAACCATAGACGAACTCTTGTGAGATTCTTTACCCTGAAGAGCAGCTTATATGCAGACACTGAGTGATAGTTAGTGGCTCAAGGATGGCACCCCTATAAAGGGGTGCTGTCCTTTGGCATTTGCCCCCAAATGGATACGAGCCCGGTGGTGGTTGCTCACCTGGTCGTAGTTGTCCTGTCCGTGGAAGAAGGGTTCCTTTCGAAAGATCATGCTCGCTAACATGCAGCCCAAACTCCACATGTCCAAGCTGTAATCATACATCTGGGGAAATAAGGACGACCCGTCAAGTCAAGGGCATTACAAACACAGTTTTCTGATCTGATGCTTTAGGACTCAAAGTAAAAAAAAAAAAAAAAAAAATAGCTGAGGAGAATCTGAAATGATCATTCCGGGGNATGTCCAAGCTGTAATCATACATCTGGGGAAATAAGGACGACCCGTCAAGTCAAGGGCATTACAAACACAGTTTTCTGATCTGATGCTTTAGGACAAAAAAAAAAAAAAAGAGGTAGCTGAGGAGAATCTGAAATGATCATTCCGGGGTGGAATAAAGACTTGGTTTTGAATGTATCCAAACTGACTAAATAAAAACCAGGGAAAAGGAAAAGCCAGGAGAAGCCCTAAGGAACTATAAAAAGCACCCAGAGGCGCTTCGCCAACCATTTTACCTGATAGTCCACAAGGAGCTCTGGTCCCTTGAAGTACCTGGAGGCAACGCGGACATTGTACTCCTGAGCAGGATGGTAGAACTCTGCCAGACCCCAGTCTATCAGTCGCAGCTGCAAACACGACAGAAATAAAACATGTGAAAGAAGGACTTCTCATGTCTGTGCCTCAGAACAAGGCCACATCATATTAGATGATAATTATGTGGCCACGCTGAAAAGTGTCAGCAAGACCACTGGCTAAAAAATTACACTTTCAACAACTGCATAAGAGGTCATTTCTAGAACAAAGCACTTGCTTTTTCTGTTTTTAAATTTGAATTACCCAGAGCTAAGCTTTCTCTCTGGCTGCACGTCGCTACCACTTACATGTGTAACACATTCCCTCATCATTGAGAGCTTTCATTACAGCTCTAGTCATAACTGAAAAGACTGGGGACAGATGCCCCCCTCGAGAATTGAAGCACTGCTCTAACCTCTCATTAATCCAACACTAGTTGGTTCATTTACTCACCAATCAGGGACAAGCAGAATTGAGTATCAAAAACAGGAGGGACCCAAGTATACTTTTAGGGCCAGGCAGATTGGTCTGAGGGGGCATTAAAGCAACAGAACCATCAGC